GTGTATGGGCAATCTATCCAGAAGATAAATTGTTTATCGGGGAGTTAGTGATCTAACATGGTTGCTCCTTCTGCCTCTGTTCCTTGCCCTTCTTATCTCTTGTTAAGTTCTTTGATGGCATGAGAACAGCCTTTAATGCCCTAACTAGTTGGAAGGAAGTGATAGTGCTGGGTACCTTCTTTGATGTTGGACATTGTTTTGAGAAAGTGAGGCATTGGGAAGGGGAGGCTAATGAATGACCTGCATGTAGTCAGTTGGGCAAGCCACATATGCTAGCTATCTATAAATTGGAAGGCTTTGGGCAGAGTTTTTTGGAGAAGCTCGTGCACAGACTGACGGCTTTGGGGCCGTACAAACTGAGGCTACCTGGTGGAGTCACTTCGCCGCTTCTTGAGGGCTTCCAAGTGGCAGGTGGAAGTGCTTGCTCGGTATGTGTATATTGCTTGCTGCTTAGAATAGGATCTTTAATCTTCTCACTCACTTCTGTTTTGTATTATTTCTGAATTTCATTTTGAAAGAACCACCTTGCATTTGGCAAGACAGCAGGCGCCAGCTTCTGTGGTGATCCCACCCAGGCGTGTCCTGGCAGGCCCTGTCCCCAGCTCCTCATCCTTCCCTGCTTGCTGCCAGGGGTCTCTGGGCCCTGGAGCCTGGCCCAGCCTCACCACCACATCCCCATCCCCCTCACTGAATGGTTGCCTGGCTAGTGCTCACTTGCTCCTCACTTGGCGTGCTCCCCAGATGGTCAGGCAGTAGGCAGGTGGTGCAGCGTGGCCGTTTGGGTCCAATGGGGGGAGTTGCTCCAGCGGTGGTTGGCGGCGAGGGCTGGGCTGTCACAGGAGACTCCATTCACCCTCTGCCCCCGGTGTGCACATGCGTGCCCAGGCACCAGCAAACCACGCTATGCCACTGTCTGAGCCTAGAGAAAACAAGTGCCTGTATGAATGAAGGGATGTAGATTCTAAAGGAAGTCTGGAAGATCAATAGGTATGAGCAAGAAGCTATGGATGAAAGGAAGGATAAGTGGCCCTGTCAAAGACAAGGAAGACTGTCAAGTTCAATGAAGCCTCCACTTCTAAAGGGTGGAAATATAAAGAGACCTTGAATGATGGGGTGTGCATAAGGTGGAAGTCCACCATTGACCATTAGCTGGGTGACAAACGTACCTAATATTTTGGTATGTCAGAATGCAGGTACAGTTCTGGAATCCTTGTGAGGAGAGAGCAGGGAAGAGGATGGTCTCAATGCATGGGGTTTGACATATTTGTCAAGCAAATTGCTAGCATGCTTGCAAATCTAAAGGTGAGAAATGAAACATCTGCCTTTATCATGTACAGCACGCTTTTAATCAATAGATCTGATTTCTTCCTAAGCTGGGCAGATGTGCAGATATTAGCTGGAGCCTTGCTACAGTGTAAAAATAAATAAATTCATGTTGTTTTCTATCCAGGAAAAATGATTCTGTCTTGCATCTAAATTTGTTGCTTTCTGGAATTTAAATCACCACTTACATGAAGCATGCCAATAAATCCATTAAATGTTTAGCCTTTGTCACTGAAGAAACCATGGATATTACATTATTAGAATTTATATGATAAATGAAATTATAATATCCATAGATTTTCTTTCTGAATCCTGACAAAGGGGGAGGAAGGGAGGAAGATGTATTGCCATAGTGATTTGCCTGCTATTCTAGGAAGTTGAGGGGCATGCATTATTCAGACTTGCAGGACCTGGGGGTGGAATATAATCACTGGTGACCACAGACTGGAGGAAGTTGAGGAGAATGAAAGATGGAGCATCAGTTCAGGAAGGTCATCATGAGCAAGGAGAGTTACGACCGCGGCAAGAATAAAATCCATTGGCAGCCATGTGCCTCAATCTCCTATTCCCCTTGTGAATTTTAGGAGATGAGTTTTAAATACAGTGGTGCCTCGCAAGACGAAATTAATTCGTTCCGCGAGTTTTGTCGTCTTGTGATTTTTTTCGTCTTGCGAAGCACAGTGTCGGGAAAGTTTTGGAAAAGCTTCAAAAATCACCAAAGTCTTCAAAAACCTCAAAAAAGGCTACTACACCGCGTGCTATGAGTTGCTCCTCGAAGTCAAGTCGCAACTGTATTAACGGTGTTAAGAAAAAGGAAACAAACTTGCAAGACGTTTCCGTCATGCGAAGCAAGCCCATAGGGAAAATCGTCTTGCGAAGCAGCTCAAAAAACAAAAAACCCTTTCGTCTAGCGAGTTTTTTGTCTTGCGAGGCATTTGTCTTGCGAGGTACCACTGTAATGGGGACTTAGATCTGTTGGCGCTGTTTGGTGTAAGCCCAGTGAGAAAGGTAGCAACTATTACTATTGTTAATTCAAGATGAGAGCATTGTGTTTGTGCAGTTGCCTAGGGCTACAACCCTCCCTTTTAATCCAGAGTAAATCCCATTGAGCTCAGTGGTACTTGCCTCTAAGTAAACATGTCTAAGATTGTGCTGTAAGGTTGCATTTGCACCTTAAGTTTCTGTCCAGGTACACAGTATCCCATTGACCTCCCTGGAAGCCCAGGAAATGAAGAATGAATGGTAAGAACGCTCCACTCTGATTCACAACAGCGGTGGTAATTCAGCTGTATTAAGGTGAGCTGTGCAAGTGTTCCCCTTTAGCACATTGTTAACCTACAGCAGTGGCGTAGCAGGGGGGGCCATGGCCCCGGGCACAAATTTCTGAGGTGGTCAACCAGGTGGTCGACCCACAACAGGCTCCCTCATTGAGGCAGGAGCTGTGAGGAGGCAAACCACACCCAGACTGGTCATTTGGGGCTGGGGTGGAAGTGGTGTCTTCTTCTCCTTGTGGCCAGTGAAGGAACACCCACACGTGCTCTACCACTGGGCCGTCCGAGAGGGAGGGAGGGAGGGAGGCACCACTGCCCACCGAGGAGGGAGGAAGAGGAAGGCAGGAAGGCACTGCAGGTGCGCCTTGCTGCAAGGACAGGAGGGCAAGTTGACAGCAGTGCTCCTGGCTTCATGTTTCTCTGTCTTTTCTCTGATCCCAGGTTGGGCCTAGCTTGTAAGGAAAGACTCCCTTGATTAGATGCTGGTTGGCAAAGGGACTGACTGCTGCCCAGTCCACCAGGGCGGCGCAACACTTGCCCTGCCCCGGGCAACAGCAACCCACGCTATGCCCCTGATCTAGTGTGAATGGAAACCGATTGCACAGACCTGAATGTATGAGCTGTAGTTATGCCTTCCTGAAGGCATTTCATACAAGCCTGATCTGCTGTGAATTGTCTATTCCTTGCTAATGTTGGATGTATCCATGAAACCAACTTCTGATTCGGATGAGCTCTTAATGTGGTGCGATCCAGTATGCGAAACTGAAAGAACCAAATGGACACATCCTTCTGAGCACAAATGAGCACAAATCATCACGAATATGCAATAAAAAAGAAATTTGGAGTAGCCCTTACTTCAAAATGGGGTAAGCCAACTCTTTTGCATTCAGGGGGCCTTTCTGCTCATTCTGTGAGTATGGCTCTGGACTCCTGCCCTAAAACTCTGTCCAGACAGCACTACAGTGGTACCTCAGGTTAAGTACTTAATTCATTCCGGAGGTCCGTTCTTAACCTGAATGTGTTCTTAACCTGAAGCACCACTTTAGCTAATGGGGCCTCCTGCTGCTGCTGTGCCACCGGAGCACGATTTCTGTTCTCATCCTGAAGCAAAGTTCTTAACCTGAGTTATTTCTGGGTTAGCGGAGTCTGTAACCTGAAGCGTCTGCCCAACACTAAGAATTTGTCAAGAATGTATAATTTGTTGCTGAAATGGAATACACAGGATGAAACGGTGAAATCAGCCATGATTAAATGGGCTCAAGATATTGGTCATGACATTATGTTTGCCGACTGGGAACAGTTATGGACCACCGGTGTTAAGTTTACGGCATGTAATGCCTTAAGAGAAAACATAATGAAAATGATTTACAGGTGGTACATGACCCCAGTCAAGCTGGCAAAAATCTATCATTTGCCCGATAACAAATGTTGGAAGTGTAAAGAGACTGAAGGTACCTTCTACCATCTTTGGTGGACATGCCCGAAGATTAAGGCCTTCTGGGAAATGATCTATAATGAAATCAAAAAGGTACTCAAATGTACCTTCGTGAAAAAACCAGAGGCCTTTCTCTTGGGCATTGTCGGCCAATTGGTGACAAAGAAGGATAGAACTTTCTTTATGTACGCTACAACAGCAGCAAGAATACTCATCGCAAAGTATTGGAAGACCCAAGACCTACCCACTTTGGAAGAATGGCAGATGAAAGTGATGGACTATATGACATTGGCTGAGATGACAGGCAGAATCCGTGACCAACGAAAAGAGACGGTGGAAGAAGAATGGAGGAAATTTAAAAGTTATCTTAAGGACTACTATAAACTTAATGAATGCTAAAATGTTGCGGTTTTCAGAAATAAAGGGATACAGGGATATAAGGTTAGAAATTTAAAAAAAAAAAAAAGAATTAAGAAGATAGAAATTGAAAATAACAATTGGGAGTTGCTAGTCGAACTTTGGACACTGGGATGCAGAGAGGGGGGGTATGGGGAAGTCAAAGGAAAGAAGTATATGAAAATATGTTTGAAACTATACGTGTATGTATGTCATTTTTGGTGTTTGTTTGTTTTTTGTTTAAAAAGTTTCTAAAACCAATAAAAATTTTATAAAAAAAAAAAATAACCTGAAGCGTCTGTAACCTGAAGCGTATGTAACCCGAGGTACCACTGTACTGGGAGCAGATGTGCATTTTTTAAAAAATATACATATTTTTAGTGAGTTTAACTAAAATTGCTACAGCTGACCCAACATGAAACAAACCTAAAAGAACCTACTATAATTTGAAATGAAGCAGATTATATACCTTCAGACTTGGAAAGGCACTCCTGATTTATATCTATGATTTCAGTCATGGTTTCCTAATCAAGGTTGTACTGTGAGTGAGCCATATTTTCCACTGAAATCAGCCCTTGAAGCTATCAATCTTTAATTAAGGTTGCTGAGAAACTTTTACCTTTCTGGTAAGAGGGACAAGGGGAGTGGAAATACATTTTTTTGCCTGTGCTCGAAAAACATTACCTAATGTCCACACACAAGCTACAAAAATCACATGCTTGCTTTTAAATATGGATATGCTCATTAAAGGTTTGGAGGTAGGTGAGGGGGGAGAGAGGGAAGAGCCATCTCCTTTTAGAAATAAGGCAGCTACAAATCAAAGTGCTGTCTGAGCTAAAAGATATTGTGTGCGTTGTATACCCAAAGCTGAATTTTGCATACGAAAAATTTCCATCTTTTCTTCTTGGAGGAAATTGCTGGTTTCCCATCAGCAGCTGTGGGGAAATTTTGACTCTCCAGATGTTGATGAACTACAGCTCCAGCAAGCATAACCACTGACCAAGTTGTTCACCAACATCTGGAGGGCCAAAGATTCCCCACACCTGCCTTACAACTGTTTAAAAACAACAACACCTTCATATTTTCACCCGTGCGAGAAACGGGTTCCACATGACAGAGACTTATCGATAAAGTTTTTGCATCCTTGGTTTTTAAGCCAGGGCATAATCAAATTGTCCTTTCTCTAGTCCGTTGATTCCATCTGCCCAGGTAGAGGTTGGCATACTCCTATAGGGGTCTAGGAGAATCCGGAAACACCGGACAATGAGGATTCCGAGGAAAATGAATAACAAAACGACAAAGACAAAGGTTGTTTTCTGTTCCAGGGTGATGCCGGTTTCTGCGGGAATGTTCCCAGAAGAGAAGAAAGCAGAGGTGAAGGACTCGCCATCCATTCTCCAGGAAAGAGGAACAAAGGAATTCCACAGTCTTCTTCTTTTCATCATCAGGGCATGGTAAGAATCATTTGCAGGTCCTTCATTGCCTGAAACTGAAGAGATGAGAAACGAAAGTATAAGTAAGTCTGTCTTGAGTAGGATGTCAAGGCTCTGAAGATGCAAAGAGAGAAACATTTCTTTGAGACCCTAGATGAGGCAGAAATGGAAGCAAGAAGAATTATCGACAATTGAAGAATGGAGAATGAAGTTAATGGACTATGCAGAACTAGATAAACTAACAGGAAGGATTCGAAACCGGCGGGACCATAAATTCACGGAAGACTGGAGTAAATTTACGGACTACTTGAAAAGTATTTGTGAGGATCAGATGACGTTTGTAGGTTTGCAAGAAGTTTTGTCAGGAGTATTATTGGAAGTATTGCAAAAATGGAGAAGGGGAAGGATGATTTGTTAAGAGATGTAAAGGCAATATAAAGTTAAGAAATGCATAAGAAGTGGTTAAAACGGTGGATCATCAGAGGTGCTGATGGAAGTCTAAAAAAGATTGTATAAGTGATAAGTTTTGTGGTACATTTTATAATTTATATGTTAAAATCAATATATATATTGATATGCTCTCTTCCCAAGTCCTAGCAGATAGGTGTGACGGGTGACATTCCAGTCAGTTTATTTATTACTTTTTAAATTAAATTTGTATACTGTCCTATACCTGGAGGTCTCAGGGCATTTACAACATAAAAGCACAATTTAAAAGCACAAATACATAATAAAAACAAAAACAACCCAATAACCCCCCCCATTGTTCTAGACAAGAACGGCCAATCTGCCCATTTGTGTCCAACATAGCAATAACAATACAATTTATTCATGCTGCATCTTTTAATATTACAGAGTGCATAAGGTAGGGTTGCTATATTTCAGAAAGTGAAAATCCAGACATGGACATTGGGAAGGGCTGCCATATGCCCAGGTTTACCCGGACCATTTTAAACCATTCTCAAAAATTCAGCCCGAACGCCATTGTTGACAGACGAATCCTGGCTATGTCTGTGAAATTCTGAACATATGGCAGCCCCGGCATAAGGAAAGATAGCAAAGTTAATTCCACTGAAGTAACAAATGAGGTTTTGCAAAGGGCAAATTGGAAGTTAACTAAATTGAAAGTTTGGATACAGAGTCTGATAGAAATACAAAATTGGTTAGTACTAATACCGAAAAATGTTTAGAGGAGACTTCCAAATGCATAAAAGGGATTGTGTTTGAACTTTGAGTCTGAAAGCAATTGCTTATTTGAGTTATTTGCTCAGAGTTCTTCTCACTCTGTAGTTCCTGGTCCAAAAATATATTTCTAAGAACCAAGGGAAGGGCTTGTATTATGGTGGTGCAATAAATTCTGCCCCCCCCCCATTGTGAGAGCAGGAATCACTCCAGATAACTGGCCTGGTATATTTTGCTTGTTTGGTTGGCCTTTTATGAAGATTTGGGTGGAATTAACTGTGTTAGTAATGCAAAATGAAGAATGCCATGACTCTGTCCTGAGTGTTTGATAAACACCACTGGCCAGAGGCAGCGTGGAATGTGGAAAATGGGAAATAATCTGGCATCTATCTCCTGGTTACTACTGGAAGCAGAGCTGGGCTTTTGATCCAACATGACCTTGTCTTGTGCTTTTCTACAAATGGAGTAAAAGGCTGGGAAGATTGGGAACTAAAGTACAATGGTCACAGCTGAGATATTAGGAAGCAGAGACCTGTGGGATAGGGTAGGTAGAGAAATAATGGATAGAGAAATAATGGGGGTAGCTGGAAGATGGGATTTGGACCAAAGTAAAGAGAGTACCAGTGGTACGTCGAGTTATGGACCTGGATCTGTTCTGGAGGCCCGTCTGTAATGTGAAAAGTCGCAACTTGAAGCGCCATGTCTGCGCAGGCCGTGGGACAACTGGCTTCTGGCATGCGTGAAGCACGATTTAGCGCTTCTGCCATGTGCAAGCGGCGAAAGCCGGAAGTAACCATTCCTGGTTACTTCTGGGTTGCCAAGGACGCAAGATGAAACATGCAACTGAAGTGGACGCAATTGAGGTATGACTGTACACTATACAAGGAAAGGAAGCCTAACAAGGGAATGGGAGACCAAAAGGGTTCTGATGAACAGTTGGAGTACAGAGCTACATAAGGTAAAGGGACCCTGACATTAGGTCAGTCGTGGATGACTCTGGGGTTGCAGCGCTCATCTCGCTTTATTGGCGAGGGAGCCAGCGTACAGCTTCCAGGTCATGTGGCCAGCATGACTAAGCCGTTTTTGGTGAACCAGAGCAGCGCACGGAAACGCCGTTTACCTTCCCACCGGAGCGGTACCTAATTATCTACTTGCGCTTTGACGTGCTTTTGAACTGCTAGGTTGGCAGGAGCAGGGACTGAGCAACAGGAGCTCACCCCGTCCCAGGGATTCAAACCACCGACCTTCTGACCGGCAAGTCCTAGGCTCTGTGGTTTAACCCACAGCACCACCCGCGTCCCTACAGAGCTACATAGTGCTGTATAAAAAGGCCTTATAAGAGAAGCATCTAAAAAGAACACATAGAGTAAGAATGCAAGAAAAATATGCAGGAGCATGGCCCTTTGGAGTTAATGTAAAGGTAATGTATTTTTGTTTGCGACCCATGCATCAAAAAACTTTCCCAGGCCAACTCACAATAAAAATATAGATTCAGGTAGGTAGCCGCGTTGGTCTGACACAGACAAAATATATGTAAAAAATAAATAAATTGTCCAGTAGCACCTTAGCTGGTCTCTAAGGTGCTAGTGGACATCTCTCTCTCTCTCTCTCTCTCTCCCCCTCTCTCTCTATATGTTATAATACA